ATTTTATAATGCCGTCTTATTGCTCTTCTTCCTAGTAGGTGCATTTTAAAAATGTTTTCCCGATGAATCCTGGACTCCTGCTCAAAGTGATACATTTATATAGCGACGTCTACAAAAAAACCCCCCAATAAGCCCGCCAAGCTGTTGTCGTTCCATCCTGACGGATGACAGCTGTGACATCTAAGTGGAATCCCGGAAAATAAACTGTGAAATTTTGACCAATGAGAGAACAGTTTACTGGCGTGTGACTTGTATTAACAAATTTGGTCCGTTTAGAAACATTGCTGTGTGAAAGCGAACCACACCAAGCATAAAAAGCAACATTGTAATAATTGTAATCCCTGTTTCGGAACGAAGCAATCGATCTACAGGTGTGAAAGCACCCTTAATGCACATTTTCACATATTTTGTCCCATCTATTGCTATGGTTATCACTATGTCAATCACTGCTACTTCGAGAGCAAATCCCGCATAAATATGCGGATGTCATTCCCGAAACTTTGCAACGTGTGTGTGGTCGAAAAAAACAAAATTTACATTTTAAATGGATTATAAGCCTAGAAAACTTGCAAAGAGCGCTCTTTATACCCACTAAAAAGCTGTCACTCTTTGTTCATCGCGATCTCACAAAAGTTCTGTTATGACCAATGAATCTCGCAATTAATAAATTATTAGCAGCGTGTATACTGTATGTTATCATGAAAGGATTTGATTGTATAACTCATCACGGAACAAAAACTGGTGTGTTGCAGTCTTTAGATATGAGAGAAACCCAGCATATTCATGAGGATGAAGCTTGCGTCCGAAGTATGGCAGGAAACCTAGAGGACGCAGTGTCTCGTTCCCTACTCAGGGAACTGTGTCCTCTAGGGGTCGCTATGGGGAACGGTATACCCATGCCACCATGCTGAGGGGAGTACATGCCAAACCACAGGCGAGCACTAAGTACCAACTCTAGCAAAGCTTTAAGGGAGTTGCCCCTGGGATGTTAAGACGGCTGTCAGTGACATTATCCCCTATTGCCAAAGGCCTAAACTTCATACCCCCCAAAAATGTACTGGTTAGGGCCAGAACTCCTGGGCCCGGGGTAGAGCTCAAGGCTTGGAATCAGGAATAGATTACTTTAGGGAGATACGACCAAGTGCCTAGAATCGTACTGGGTCTTGGCCTGTCACCCAGGGGGCTACCGCTTGCTCTGCATGAGCTTGCTGAAGGAACTGTCTCAACAGACCCCTAGTTGCAACACCCTGTTAAAGTAGGTATCCTGAGGATACATAGGTGGAGTAGTGCCAAAGGTGGAACCGGGGCCTAACCGACTCAAGAAAGGGCATGAAGCGTAGCCCCTACCATACAGGATTTTAGAAAGAACGCAAAAAGCTTAATGTGGCTTTTAGAAAGTGCACAGAGACTTACCATATCATGGATTTTAAAGATACCGTTCTAAGGGGCCCTCATGGCACTCTGAAGGAGATAGTGAATTGGTGGGTTTTTGTTAAATGTGAGCCAAAATCATCACAATTAAAAGAACCAAAGACTTAAACTACTTCAGTCTGTGTGCAGTGAATTTATTTAGTACACGAATTTCACAATTTGAGTTGAATTACTGAAATAAATGAACTTTTCCACGACATTCTAATTTATTGAGATGCACCTGTATAGATGGAAATGGCGCATCCCAAGAACAATACATCTGAGAAGCACCAACTCATCCTCATGCTATAATGCTGGAATGGCTAGCAGTAAGTTACCTAGCTGAGGGAGCATAACACCCAGCTCTCAGTGCGAGAGGGGGCTCAACCTATAGCATGTTCATTAGAAATCCTGAAGAGTAAGCGTACTGCAAGCTTAGCCAAAAACTCAGCGCATCAGGGAGGCAGAGGAAGGGCCTAGTTCGCCTGATGTTGCCGGTTCCAGGTGCTCTGGGAAAACCGAGAACTCAACTCTCCACATGAGAGGAGAACTTCGAATTCAAAAAAGAAGTAGCGTGCTCATAGGCAAGCATTGCTAAACACCACCACGAGAACAGCCCACGGAGCGGGGAATTCAACTCCTCAGAAGGGGAGAGGACTTGAACGCTCGTAAGAAAGCACCATGCTCATAAATAATCCTCTACAGTGAGGGGAGTGATGCTTTAAAAGTGTATCAACAGAGACACACTAGTCGAGTGGAGCCCAAGGCAAGTACCGGGGCCTAAGCCGACTCAGAGAAAGGGAACAAGGCTAACAACGCGTAACCCTTACCATACAGGATTTAAGAGAGTGCGCAGAGTGCTTAGCGTGCACACTTACCACCATGTGGATTTTAGGAAGTGCACAGAAGCTTAGTGTGTGCACTTACCATAGTATAGATTTTATAGAGATCTGCTCACAGATGCCCAGAAGTCCTCAGCCACTCAATCGGGAGTGGCAGGCTCAAAGACAACCCTCTGAAGTGAGGGGAGCACTGCCTGACTTGGCCCGAATAGAGGCAGCTTATCAGGGAAGCAGCCCAACTACCTGATGTCACTGCCACAGAGCGACTCCTAGCTAACCCTCACAGATAGGGGAGCACTTCTTAGCTCGACCAGAAGGGGGCGATAGACTGGTGCAGCTCGATAGAGAGCGTGGGTCCCGTATAACCAGACCCGATAGAATCTGAAGAAATAGTGGGTCCCAATAACCATTCATGCATATAGAGCTTACTACTCCTCAGAGCAGAAGCTCAAAGGAGGGGTTTCCCATAGTAACACAAATCCCTCTTACCTCAGGGAATGCAGTGTACTCCAGCCCACTCCACAGAGGGGTGATTATTGGTTCAACCCTAAGGGCAGTGTGACAGTGATGACTCGCGCGCCCGACCATCTATGGAGCATTGAACTCAGAGAATGTGCATGAAGGTTAAGGAACGATTCAAATCTCGGGAGACCTCTCGGTGAGAAATGAGTAGTTCGCACCTGGCCAGAGGATAGGAAGCATGTACTCAGAAGATGAAAATGGATCGTACTCACTCAGAAGATGAAAATGGATCGTACTCCCCAACCGTGGCTCCCGCGCATGACTCAGGCTCAAGATATAGGCTGCAGGCGAAGTCCGAAGCCTGGACCCTCGTGGAATGAAGGATTTAAAAGGCCGCCGAGCACGTCTTGGCTTCCTAAAAACCTCACGACCTTCCTCTCGACGGAAGTGCCGAAAAAACTCAGAAGGGGAAACCATCAAGAAGAAAGCCCTTCTCTTTCGACCCGATAACCACCAGACTCACCACAGATGTCTCTCCATAACCACCATGGCTGCCATTCTGTCAATGGCAGTGGCGGCCTGCTTAGCGGCACAGAGAACAAGATCCGTGGTGCGACGCAACTCAGCCACCTCATAGGGGATAGACCCTGCCTTTATCCAGGTCTTTCAGCAGATCAGCCTGAAAAGCCTGAAGCACCACCATGGTGTGCAAGGAGACTTCAGCCTGACCTGCTGCCGTGCCTTAAGAAACGATGTCTCCCTAATGGAGAGATAGCAGGCCAGCGTCTCTTCAACAGGTGGCATCTTCTCATAACCATTCTCATGCATCCCCTTGATGTTGGCATAACTAGTATGCTGGAATGTGGATGCGGGACAAGAAATTTTCTTTTTTTTCAAGTCGGAGTGTAGTATAATGTGGTTATCTGAGAAGGACATGATATAAACCATCTATCCAATAACTGCAGACAGATCCACACTATACATTTCCTATATAAACAAAAGGAAATTACTGTTATGGAGAAATGTCCCGTCAGGTCTTTTCATGCATTCAGCTCCTGCGGGAGCTAAACACGCTCCACCCAACCACTAGACTACCTCAGAAATCAAGCACGAATGACGAAAAAAGGCCGCAAATGCATCGCTATTCCCGCGAGAGGAAAACGCACTCATGCAAGCGCTATCTACAAACTCGCGTAAATGGTGAAATACTCACATCCCCCTCAGAAGTCCCGCAAATACATCACAATGAGCACAAGCCGCCTCCTGTGAAACGAACGCATTCAATTCATGCTTATCCCTCACAAGAAATAAGCAATGAATGCAGAGTGCATCCAACTCCCTCGAGAGCTGAACGCGCTTGCTCTTCAACACACAGCACGCGAGCCGTGTGAAACTGCAGGTATCAGAGCAAAGCCTCTGGCGAGAAACATGCACTCCTAGTCGTGTTTAGCGTAACAACTTAAACAAACGGTCAGTGAAGACGAAGAAGAGGATGACATGTTCTTCCGGTGCCTATTTATACTATAGTCGCACCGGTAGTGACGCCATAGGCTGTCGCCGGCCAATGTTATTGTCGTTTTTAGATATATGCTTCAGACACTGGTCACACTGAAGGTGTTCCCCATAGCGACCCCTAGAGGACGCAGTTCATAGTTCCCTTGAAAGGGAACTAACATTCCCAGAACGTTCTGAGAACCAAAAATGGTTAGCTGGGTGACAGGGCAAGCCATTACGCTAATGCATTAGCTTAAAGCTTAAAATAAAGAATTCTCATGTTTTGGGCAGCTTGGAGCACGTAACTCTCCCGCAGCATCTCATCTTCAGACACTGGTCACACTGAAGGTGTTCCCCATAGCGACCCCTAGAGGACGCAGTTCATAGTTCCCTTGAAAGGGAACTAACATTCCCAGAACGTTCTGAGAACCAAAAATGGTTAGCTGGGTGACAGGGCAAGCCATTACGCTAATGCATTAGCTTAAAGCTTAAAATAAAGAATTCTCATGTTTTGGGCAGCTTGGAGCACGTAACTCTCCCGCAGCATCTCATTCTGTTTCCTCCACTATTTTTAGATGCATTTTGTCCATAGAAATGGTAATTCAGTGCTGTAATTTGACGCAACTGTCTGAAGTTGGATGTGCACTGAGGGCAGACCCGACTAATCGATAATGAGAATCGTTGTCGATGATTTTCATAATTTCATTTTATGTTATGATTTAATGCTGCAGCCCTACTTTGTGCCATTAAAATGGGATTAACTTGTATTTGTCTCTTTCTGCTTTAGACCTGATGCTGCTGAAAAAGAAAAGTGAAAAACTAAATGAAATGGAAGACAAAGATCAGTGTGAGAAAAATGATTTCACTGGAGAAAATTTGTTTAGTTGCCCACAAACTAAACCGACTTCACAAAAGAGAGCTCAAAACACAGGAGCTAGAAGTCATTTCATCTGCCAACAGTGTAGAAAGAGTTTCACTAAAAAAGCAAGCCTCGAAATCCATTTGAGAATTCACACTGGAGAGAAGCCTTACACCTGCCAACAATGTGGAAAAAGTTTCATTAAAAAAGCAACCCTTAATAGGCACAAGAGAATTCACACAGGAGAGAAACCTTACACATGCTCTCAATGTGGACTAAGTTTCACTCAAAAAGGAACCCTTAACAGGCACATTGCAGTTCACACCGGAGAGAAGCCTTATGCCTGCAAACTGTGTGGAAATAGTTTCATTCGAAAAGGAGGCCTTAAAAACCACATGAGAATTCATACTGGAGATAAGCCTTATACCTGCCAACAGTGTGGAAAGAGTTTCTGTCAACAAGGAAACCTCAAAGTCCATATGAGTAGTCACTCTAGAGAGAGATATTTCAACTGCCACCAATGTGGAAAAAGTTTAACCAAAAAAGCAAGCCTCGAAATCCATTTGAGAATTCACACTGGAGAGAAGCCTTACACCTGCCAACAATGTGGGAAAAGTTTCATTAATAAAGGAACCCTTAAAAGGCACAAGAGAATTCACACTGGAGAGAAACCTTACATCTGCCCTCAATGTGGACTAAGTTTCACTCAAAAAGGAACCCTTAACAGGCACATTGCAGTTCACACCGGAGAGAAGCCTTATGCCTGCAAACTGTGGAAATAAGGGCCTTTCGCACCGCAGGAACCTTTTCATAGTACCAGAACTAATTGTGGAACTACCCACTTTTCGGCGTGTTCGCACCGCCGGAACTGGGTGTGCGATTTTAGTACCGGACTGCCTTTTTCGAGAACCAAATTAGCTCCTACTCCGGAGCAGGGTCTAACCAGCACAACTGGTACTAATCGTGACGTAAGTAGACATTGATTGGCCAAACACGTATGAAAAAGCCCTCACCCGCGATGATTTAAAACGCCGTGTAAACATACTTTAAGCATGCCAACTTATTTCGCAAGTATGGAGAACAGCGATAGATGGACGGACGCTGAAGTGCTTGTAGCAAATGTAGCACTGCCAGTTGTCGTTGGAGATTCTTAGTCCTCCTTTCCGTTCTTTCAATCGCTTTACGTATACGTCGACTTTCCATGTCCATTATTGTGAAACCCGCGAGACGCAACAAAAACACAGCTCCGATCACAGCGTCCTCCATCCTCCTGTTGTTAATGTTGTTCTTCTTTGTTTCTGTTGTTGAACGCCGCGCACAAATGACGTCGCTGTCGACCGGCTTACGTCACTTCTTAGTACACACTGTCAGTGCGAATGCAACTCTTTAAATGGTACTGGGAAATAGTTCGCGCAAAATCGTCCCAGTACTTTAGTACCGTACGTTTAGTTCTGGAACTAAAGCGGTGCAAAAGGGCCTATAGTTTAAATCGAAAAGGAGACCCTAAAAACCACATGAGAATTCATACTGGAGAGGAGCCTTATACCTGCCAACAGTGTGGAAAGAGTTCCTGTCAACAAACCTCAAAGTTCACATGAGTGTTCACAGTGGAGAGAGATATTTCAACTGCCAACAATGTGGAAAAAAGGTTCACTAACAAGGGAGACCTTGAAGTCACACTGGAGAAAAGCTGTTCACATGCCCTAGCTGTGGAAAGAGATTCAGAACTAAATTTTTTTTTTACAGATTTGGTATAAACAGAAAATAAAAACAAAACACAGAAATGGTAAAAGGCAGGCCCAGTATTCTTTATTTATGTTACCTCCTTGACCCTAAGGCGGGGTCGTATCAAATAAATGTATTCATTTAGCGGAACATTGTTTTCCAACATACTTACCTATTGCTGCCATCTTAGTGGTTATAATGGTAATTTCAGGGAATTTGCAATAGGAATATATTCATTTTTACTTTTTAGAGTGCCAAATTTTGCCCGATCTCCATAAAATTTTGCATGCTTGTTAGGAATCATATGATACATGAGCTTACCAAATTTTTTTTTTTTTTAAGTTTGTTTAAACGTTTGGGTACACCAGGTCAAGAGCATATTTTTACACTTATAAAGTTGTTCAGGAGGAGGAGATTTATGATATGAATATTGTATGCACATGTGAACCCAGGTGAAAAAAGTGCAGTAAAATACACGTACTTGAGTACACTCAGCTGTGCTATTTTGGGACCCCACAAATATGAACTAAAATGTGCTTTTCACATACTTTGTAAAAAAAAAAAAAAAGTAAGTATTCAGTTACCACTTGTAGTACAATTGAATCAATCTTTCATACACTTTTGAATGTTCTCATCATACATAGAAAATACTCTTATTATTTAGTCAAGTCAAGTCAAGTCTGCTTTATTGTCAATTCTTCCACATGTACAGCACATACACACAGAGAATTGAAATTGCGTTACTCTCAGACCCTTGGTGCATACAGATAACATAAATACAGATAGGTACAGATTATATACATAATACAACTATACAAATGTACAAATAAGGTAAAATGTAAAAAAAAAATATATGTATATAAAGCACAAGGCATATGGCAGATAGAGTGCAAACCAGTAAAGTAAACAACAGTGCAGATATAATGATTGTAGTGCAAAAGAGCTTATTCAGACTGAGTGACAGTGTGTGTGTGTGTATTAGGGAGGAGGGAGTGGGAGAGTCCGTCAGAGTTCAGAGTTGCGTGGGGCAAAAGAGGGGAGGGGGGGCAAGGTCGGGAGGGAGTTCAGCTTCCTGACAGCCTGATGGATGAAGCTGTCCTTCAGTCTGCTGGTCCTGGCCTGGAGACTCCGCAGTCTCCTCCCTGATGGCAGCATACTGAAGAAGCTGTGTGTCGGGTGGGTGGGATCACTTGCAATGCAGAGGGCTTTGCGGGTGAGACGGGGGTTGTAGATGTCCTGAAGGGGGGGGTGAGAGGCACCAACGATCTTCTTAGCTGCTCTCACTATGCGTTGAAGTGTCTTGCGGCAGGACGCGTTGCAGGCGCCATACCACACAGTTATGCAGCTGGTCAGGATGCTCTCGATGGTGCCTCTGTAGAAGGTGCACATGATGGGGGCCGGGGCTCTGGCTCTTCTCAGTTTGCGGAGGAAGTAGAGATGCTGCTGTGCTTTCTTGGCCAGTGCTGCGGCGTTGTCAGTCCAGGAGAGATCCTCTGTGATGTGCACACCCAGGAACTTGGTGCTGCTCACCCTCTCCACAGTCACACCATTGACGGTCAGAGGGGCATGCTGAGTGCGCACTCTCCTGAAGTCAACAACAATCTCCTTCGTCTTCTCCACATTCAGAGAGAGATTGTTGTCACTGCACCACCCGGCCAGGCGGCTCACCTCGCTCCTGTAGTTTGTCTCATCTCTGTTGCTAATGAGACCCACTACAGTCGTGTCATCCGCAAACTTGATAAGGAGGTTGGAGTTGTGTGACGGTGTGCAGTCGTGGGTCAGCAGAGTGAAGAGGAGGGGGCTCAGCACACATCCTTGGGGGGCCCCAGTGTTCAGTGTGATGGTGCTGGATGTGTTGCTGCCGACCCGTACTGCCTGAGGTCTTCCAGTCAGGAAGTCCAACAGCCAGTTGCACAGCGATATATTTAATATACAATATTAATATATAATGTGTTCAAAAGGCTTCTTGAACTTCCTTCATGTGGCCAATCAACATTTGCAACGTCACCATCATGTGCATCACGTGGCGTCAGAAAGTCATGTAGAACACAAACTCTTTCCACGAGTAATCCACTTCATCTCACGTTTGTCTGCAGCCTCCCAAATTTACTGATGTAATACATTAGGTAGTCAACCAGTATGCCTATTACGGCCGTGCTTACTGCCGTGTCAATGCCGCAGCGGCAAATACAATCGGTCACATGTGAAACTCGTTTGCGAAATCACCACCAGGTGACACATTGTTTGCTCAATAAAAATAGTAACATATTACATTAAATCTCGACTACATCATATAGGCTAAATGCATAATGTTGCAACTATTTGACTACTGTTGGAGTGAAATATTAGTGATGACATTGCTTGAAGTGTGCTTAATTTATCCAGTATTTGAGTTGTGCATATTTATTTTGTCACCATTACTGTCATAGATAAAAGGTTTGACACTTCAGTTTAATAATTCAATTATGCATTCCAACAGGTTAAATGCATACTTGCGATCTGACTTTTGACACATATTCCGACAGCTGTGCTCATGACACGGCAAAAAATATGTGATCCACGAATTGAAGAAATTTAATTAAAAATTACTTTATTAAATCATCACGGGTAGGTTTTCGCGGGAAATGACTAGTGTGAGCGCGGTTCGTTTAGCCGGCCCTGGCCCGGTTCGGTTGGGCTCAGGCGCGGTACGCATGCAGTGTGAGCGCTAACCGCGCCGGAGCACGGAACAGATACTATTTTTTGCACTCTACTGTCATCATTACGACCGCAAACATATTCTATTACTACTACTACACTACACTTTTCAATTAATTTAATTCAATCAAGTATTTAGAGTGTTGAAAAAGCAGGGTAGACTGGTTGGAAAGTGATTTTTTCCCCAATTTAAATAAATAAATAAATAGCTGATGTTTAAACAGATGATCATATACAAGTTCACAAGCTCACATTTTTAGACAGAGCAAAACGTTATATGTCTTTTATCCCTTGCATTTATTTAAAAAAAATATTCGACAAGAATGAGAAAACAGAACTTGAATTTAAAGAAAGCCATTCAAAAACAGAATAACAAACTAAAAACAGAAGTGTAATAAAGCAAACGTGTTTAAATATGAAAGCACAATTGGTTACACTTTAAAATAAAGATTAAATGAATTAAGATTAAATAGGCGCATGTTAAAATAAGTTCACAAAATAGAAAACATTATATGGAACAGAACGGAACAGAATGCCCACTCTTTATAAACATCCTGCATAGGGCCACCCTCGACTAAAGATTTTTCTGGTCGCTTAGTAGTCGTTCATTTCTAGCACGAGTCGGCTATTAGTCGCACGTTTATTAAGAAACCATATAAATCATAATAACGAGCCTTTAATTGCCTTCAATTGCGTGCACACACACACAACAAAAACTTGCCACAGTGCACCGGAAGATATAATAATTATGAATGTGTCAGGGAAAACCAGCAAGGAGACTGCATTAACGTTTTAATAATTTATTGATCCACTAGTACTTTCTTTGTTTTCGGCTTAAGAGATGAAGTCGGCAACACTCGTTATCTCCGAAATAGTGATTTTTACACGTAGAAAAGGCGAAAAAATATAATGCATTGTCCAGTTTTCTCTCAGAAAAACAATCTAACAACAGTTGTACACGGAAGCAGCTCCGGGCGGATGACGTATGAGGTCAGCGTTGCGCATGCGTTGGTGAGTCTCGTGAAAACCAACGTTTGGTAACAGCAGCAAAGGAAGCAAAATTTCCTTACTTTAGCAAAGGAAAACCAGTCTCCTCTTGGTTTATATCGAAATCCTCCGACATTCTTCTTTACAAATCCTCGTTTTGTGCTTCTAATTCGTGACTGACATTTTGTTTTGATTTCTCCGCTGCGCTTCCGCATTCGTCACTTCTGAGCGGCGCATGCGCAAAGCTGACCTCATACGTCATCCGCCCGGAGCTGCTTCCGTATACAACTGTTGTCGCAAGCTACATTAAAGTGATTATTACGTTTTAAATATGGATCTTTTATTCGCTACAGAAGGCCTTGTTCACCCCCCAGAGCCGTGTGAG